AATATTGAAATCGCCAATCATCTCCAAATAAATTAAGGCATTGAATATTGTGATGATCATCATGAGAACTATTAATACTTCTATTTTGATTCAAGAAAATCCCATGTCCATTTGTGGAGGTAGATGTAGATGCTGGAAAATATGTTACATAATTTGATTGTAACTCTGCCACATTGTAACATCTAAGATTAGCACCTGCAGAGGCGGATCAATAGTGTTAGAAGGTACGTAGATTCAATTAAACTCATCAAGTTTAACTTAATTAGACGACCACATTATAATACAAGGGCTAATGTAATTTATAGACAACAGGTTCAACTGAATCAGTATTTTGAAAAACATATATATGTATAAGCAAAAATGAATGAAATTCCAACAAATATATATATACTTGATTTTTTGTTGCAAAGATGAACCTATATAGTGTTAGAAGGTAGATTCAATTGAACTCATCATTTGTTCAACTGAACCAATATTTTCAAAAACATAAATATATACAAGTTAAATAATTATGGAAATTTCAACAAATATATACTTGATTTTTGAATCATGACTTGAAAAGTATAGTATGTTCGGTACTAAAAACTTCTAAGGTTGAATCTCAATAATCTGCCTATATATATAAATATACATACACATACAAAATTGTATCAATTGAACACTCTTCATAAGAAAATTATAAATATGTAATAGGTCAATAATTACTTTATATATACATTTCTAGTTTTGGTACTAATTGTATGTTTGTGTGTGTGAGAGAGAGCTAGGGGGGGAAAACCCTAATACGATATAAATTGAATACATACATATATTTCAAAGAAAATTATAATACAGAATTGTTTAAATCTTGGATCCGACTCTGAGTACATACCTGATGATAAGTTGTTGTGGATTTCATGCTTATTAGTAGTAGTGGAGGTGAGCAAATTGTGAGTAGTAGTATTAGGTTTGTTCCTGCTACTGGATAATTTGTCTTTCCTATGAATATTCATATGACCACCTAAAGCTTGAGCTGTGTTGAATCCTCCTTTGCAATAAACACACTCATAAGATTTGCCAACACCTCCCATGTAGTACTCTTGTTCTTGTTCTAGCTCTTGCTGGTCAACTTCTTGATCGATCGATGAGTTTAACAAGTAATCATGTTGATTAGATGACTCCATTAATTAAATCAATCTTAATTATATATATAGATCATCAATATTGTTTGATCTCATATATATTGACTTTGGAATATTGAGTGTAAAGAAATTATATGGAAGATGGGGAGGTATATGAGTCGGAAACAAGAACCTCTCTACCTCGCAAAAGTAAGGTAAGGTCTATATATGTTTATTTTATCAACTTCAAACTTCACTTGTGAAATTACACTCGTTTGTTGTTATGGGGAATCGTATGAGACAAAATATTTAAGGGCTTAAAATCATTTAGACGAGAGAAGTCATACTATAGCTAATTTGTAATTCCACGCCGGCCGTTTAGTAAAGACTAATATATATATATATATATATATATATATATATATATATATAAAATATA